ACTTTATAGTAAACAAATTTTATTCCCAAGTTTGATATTGCTAGTACTTCCACGATTGAAATAAGTGAGGCCCATTTCTCAAATCCGAGCATTACCATCCCCCGTTAATTTTGGTATTCCTTAACTTGCTAGCTGAGCTTTTAAGCTTGGAAACTAATATAAACACTATCTAATTTAATTTACTTTACAATATATTTATTAAAAAATTATTAATTTTAATTTAAAATTAAAAATTAAAAAATATAGATATGAATACAGTATAAAGAAATTAATTATATTTTTATTATATTTTAATGACTAAACTAACTAAGTATAAAAGTGTAGATTAAATTGAAGGATGTCCAAATCATTTTCATTCGAGCTTCAGGCGGCTAGTTTTTTATTCCTACTTGACTGTAAGGCAACTCATGACTTCAAAGTCAGTCAATTTGGATTATTGCAAGCAGGGACCATTTAGGGCCTAGCCTGCAACTTTCCTCCAAAAAAAAAATAAAAAATAAAAAATGGGCCTAGCCTGCAACACTTTTTCCAGAGATTGAATATTTTTTCTCCGTCACCGCGTCAAATGGGTGTAAACTGGGCTAAAACAATCGACGTACACTTTAGTCTTTGGATTCTGCTAAAATTTTGAAACTTTCCCAGAAAGTAGATTGCAATCGAAATGAATGCAAGGAAAACTTAGAAAACGGGTTGATTTTTAGGCAAAAACTAATTCTAAGCCCCCAGAATTTTTTTATTTTCTCATATAAGTCCCCAAAGAAAAAAAAGTAACATGTAAGGCCCTAAACCTTTGGATTTGAGCAAATTAACTTTTGTGTTAACGATGGAATTGCGGCTGATCATGTAAGTTAAAAGTTTTTTTTGCCTGCATGTAGACCTGGAAAATGGGCGGGTTGGGTCGGGTTAGGGTCGGGTCAAAATGGGTAACAGGTTAAAATGGGTTGGGTTAAAACGGGTCACGAGTCAATGAAGGCAGACCCTAACCCGCCCATCACAGGTCATAGGTCAACCC